TTATCACGACCCGGCCCGGTTAGCTCGCAAGTGCGAGGCGGGAACAGAGGTTGGATAGGATGGAATAAACCTTCATAGCATATCATCAAAAGATCTAACATAAACCAAGCATTTTCAACTATAAAATGAAAGAGCCACTAAAATAAATCCAATTAAAACTTTCATTTTTCATTCATCTTTCAAAAGAAAAAAATGTACATAGAGAGTTCTTCCAAAAGAAGGGATCCAAACAAATCTAACTCTCACAAAAAAATCTACACATACAACCTTCTATCATCAAAATAACAAAACTCAAAAGAACCTGTCATCCGTCGTCTCCCTACGACGGTAAGTGCGCAGTGGTTGGTCTGCCATTATCTATTCGCAGGATCTCCTGAAAATTTCCCACAACATAGGTGAGTCATAACTCAATAGGCAAATGCTTTTTCAATTAAATTTAGAGAACAAGACGAGGGAAATAATATGTATGTCAATGCTTTGTGTAGGAATATTAAACAAATCATAAAAGTTTAGTAACATGCCTCTAGGTCAACCATTAAGCCTCTTCCTTTAGTTAAGCTTGCAACTAATCACTTACACAATACATGAATTATTTTCATGAATCATAAAATATTTTATATACATATAATGTAATGTATATCTTATAATCACCAGTCTCGGAAGTATCTTTTGTACTGATCAGATACAATTTGTTTGGCCATTCCTTTTCCATTTGGTTCTAAGAACCATCTTTACAATTTGGTTCATAAAAACCACCTTTACCAATGCTCGGAAGAGCATCCCTTTACCAAAGATACCTCCGCATCAACATCCACATACATTCATCCTTTAATTATTCATAGGAATATTCTTATTCATGCATATGGTCAATTGTCTCCTAATGTGCTACATGATTTCATGTTAGCATGAGGAAAGAAAATGAGCTAAGTACATTCTTTAATCATTACTCTAGAAAGAGACAAGTGCAATATATATATCATCACATAAGAGATGTACTTGCAATGTAAGATAACACATTGTCTCTAAACCATTACCAAATGAGTTCATATAAATAGGCAACCATAGAAACATGTGCATGACATTAAGAGCATAATAAGATATAAAAATAATACGATTGGAATAATGCTAAAAATCTTCACAAAAATATAAAACATGCTATGGTGGAAAGAATTGAAATTTTTCTTCTAAATTTAAAAGTGTCACATTTACCTACCTCAATACAACGTGCTCCGCCAAATATCCTTACGAACTCTTCCTTTCCACGAGTTCAACACCTAAATGAAACACACACATCATTCCCTACACTCATTATAAATTTAAAATAAATACTATTTTCGGAATTACCTTAAAACCCTAAATTTGGAAAAAAAACATTTTCATTGATTCCCTCACATAAACATGCAAAACTCTCCCTTACACCTAATTCATAATTAAATTAATATATTTTCGGATTTAAAATAATTAAAAATTAGGAAAATACATTTTTGTAAGAAAAAATTAATTTCTTCCCTTAGAAACTATCTTAGGACCCTTAGCAACCAAGTTTATAAAAGTACTTTCAAAAATTTCAACTTTAGGGAAAAACCCTAATTTTAGAAACCCTAAAAATTCTTGGAGAAACTTCATTTTTACATTCAAAACACTACTCCTAATATTCCCTAACAATCCTCCATTTAAATTCTTAATGAAATTCAAAGTTTCCTCAAACCCTAGAAATCTTCTCATCCAAAAATCTTGAGAAAGAGATGGAAATCATAGTTCTATTACATACCTTTTCCTTCTTTTGTCTTCCTCTTCAATTTCCCTAAGTTTTTTGCCGGAGAAACGCCTCCGGAGCCGGCCGTCTCCCTTGCCCGTCGCCTCTACCGTCCGCCCTCTCCAAATTTAGGCCAAACCATGCATGAAATGAAAGAGGGCTCGGTTGGTTCATTTAGGGAGAAAAGGGATTTTCAAAATATCAAATTTTCCCTCACTTAAGTTATCCAAGCCTTAATAAACAGTAGGGGTACTTTGGGTATTATAAGACTTCTCTAATTTTTATTTCCTAAATTAAGCAAAATTAAATATAAGTTTTATATATTAAATTTCTTAGAATTTTGCATAGAAATTTTCAAAATTATTTTCATCGAAATCCGACAAACTTGAATTTTCCACTTAAAACTCGTCGCGACGCTTTGAAAAGCATGCGAGGTCTAAAACAGCATTTTTGCGGGTTTTACAGTATGACATGATATTTGTAGCTGATGTACCGGTTTACTGTAGTGGTGTTGCAGCAAGCTAAGGAAAAAGAAAAAAATTATCTATAGATAATTAAATATATATATG